AAATCCTAGAATCATCTCTGTCTAATAGTAATTAAATATCATCCTGGGGGCCATAGATAATTAATTCGCGGGACGGATTCAACCCGTCCCGGCCTTGACTTTGACATATGTGCTTTACTGCTACACCGTTGGAAAAGAGAAATTATGATCAGCACAGGAAAAGATTTCTGTATGACAAGAAAGCTGAATGTTGTGTTTTTCTTTCAGGTGACCAAGTACTGGCCTTACTTTCTATTGTGAGGTCACCATTTCAGGACAAGTTCCCTGTGAAACAGCTATATAAAACTATCTCATTGCGACTCCAGAAAGGCGGAAGAAACAACAATTCATGTTAACCTCATAAAACCTTATAATGTTCATAGTGAGACTGTATTGATGGATGAAATTCATTCTGTATGTATTGGTGAAACACTGACATCTGCTGAAAATGAAGGGAATAGAGATGGGTTGCCTTCTCCAGATTCAGCAATTCTAACTGGTTGACCCAAGAATTCTGAAGTGCTGGAAAAGGTGGACATTGTGTTGAGCCATCAATGCTTTGATTCGTTTCAGTTGATAAAATCTCACTCTGATTTACTTGCAGATGTTCCATCGTGCACACACTTGATTGAAGATGATATTGAGGTGGGTGATGCACGACCTTTAAAACAGCAGTTTCATAGGGTTAACCCAGAAAAATGCAACCATCTGGATTCTGAGGTTGACAACATGTTACAAATTGGCATTGCTCAGGCAAAGCTTATCAAACAAAACTATCCAGTTTGTTGTGATTTCACAACAAACTGGTTCTCAAGAAATCAAATCAAAACAAAGAAATCAAAAACATAACTAAACCTGATTCATACACAATTTGGTCAGTGCAGTCACCCGACTACACTGACCAAATTGATAATGCTAAATTCACCAGTAAGATAGACCTAGTATAGGGTTATCGGCAGATCCCTTTACCTAAATAGGAGCAAGAAATATTTTGCCTTCATTACACCTAGTGATCTAAAAATGTTTTTATTAATATATTTAAAATGATAGCTGCACAAATGGAAATTTTATCAGCACAAACAAGCACAAATGTAGAGACGAATTGATTTACACCAAATTTGATTGTTTTTATAAAAGTGAGGGGGCTGGTTGACCTTTGACCTTTAAACTTTACCTTTAAATACTTTTAAATGTTAGCAGGGACAGGGGACTGGTTGACCTTTGATGACTCCTAGAAAATATTTTTCTCAATATCTCAATACTGAATATTGAGATATTGAGAACCTGCTACCAAGTGTCTGTGCACAAACAAACAAATTTTCTGCATGAACCAGCACAAACTTCGAGTTCATCGACACCTTTTTACTTTGATTTCATAAATGTAGGGGGCTGGTTAACCTTTTGATCTTTAATCTTCTATTAATATCTTCAAGGCCAAAGCAGCACAAACAAACAAAAAATGCTGCAGAAACCAGCACAAAGGGAGTTGAGTTGATTGGCACCCATTTTGTCTGATTTGAAGAAGGTGGGGTGCCTAGTTGACCTTTCATGACCTCTATAAACATTGCTTTATATCTTTAAAATGATAGAGGCAGAAATAAATAAAAATTGCTGCACAAACATAGCACAAACTTTTGACACCAATTTTATCACTCTAACCCTTCTCTCAAGGTGCTTCACCTGCTACCAAGTGTTTGTGTTTCTAAACATAACATATAAACCATAAACACAGTGTTTTTTCGACAAAAAACTTTCAATCATAATTTGTGTGCAAAATGCATTTTTAGAACTAAGATTTGGTTTTGGAATCAAGTTATGATTAAGTTCATGGTTAGAGATGAACTTAATGGTAATTAATGAGGTAAGAAACAGAACTATTGTTTACCAATAATCTATCCTGAATATGGGTCAGGGTGGGACAGGCATGCACCTGGTCCATTATGCACAAGTTTCACAAATGTGGTTAATTACTTATATAAAAAATAGATTATTCATTAACTTAATTAAGAACTAACATTTGAATTAAATAATATGCTTTACTAAAATTACTTTTTCTTCGTTTAACTTAACCTTTAAGTTAAACGAAGGATTCAGTCCAATTTGTATTTAGCACCTCTCATGCTTTGATCAAATTTAAGGTCAGTTCTAAAGCAAAACAGTATTAAAAGGCTCTTTTAGATTAAAATTATATAAAGGTTGCATAAATTAGTCTCGATATAGACCAGTTTGAGTAGATGATAAAAAAAAGAAAAAAAAAGGCTGTATCTTCATGTAAGATCTCAGCTTCAATGCCAAGTTGCTCAAAAAAGGAATATTTTCTTACAGTGTGCAAACTTATGATGCAACTGAAAAATACAAAATTTTTATGTACTTTTGTTGATTTTGTTCCTGCCGCCCCTCAGGGCATGCCACCCTGAACAGTGAACCATATTCCTTGCTTCAAGAACCACCACTGATCTCAACAATCTGTGTTTGGTAATTAAAATAGGAAGCTAAAGTCGGGCACCTTTAACTAGATGAGACAATAAGAACAATTACACATTTCTTTATATGTTTTAGGAGCCAAGAGCAGCAAAGGGACAGAAGAATAATTCTGAAATACTTTTAATGAAAACAGAAGACAAAATAACAAATAGTTCACTGTGATGGGAAAAAAAAACTAAAGAGTCAGAGGATAACTGGGACAATCTGACAGTCTCTGATAAAGTCTCAAAGTGACTGAACTTAGGAGCATTAATAATGAGGAAAGTATGCAGTATACCCCACGAACCAACAGGGGCACCAAGAAAGCAAGATCTGGAATCAACGCACAGCTTCAGCTAAAACTAATATCTCAGCATTAGAGAAACTCATCCAAGCATTTGTCATGAGTCACATTGATTATGACTAATCAATGCGATTAATCACATCTGGATTAATTGTACTGGATAAACTGTAAAAAAACACCGAACCATTGAATTTCTTTAAATCCAGACTTAAAACACACCTGCTTAGAATTGCTTTTGAAACATTATAAATGAAACATTGATAAGGATTCTGATGCCACCAGACAAAATGTTATGTTTCAGTTGTTACTATAACACTTACAGTGTTACTATAACTTTTGTGTGTGTGTGTTTTGCAGCACTTTGAACTAACTTGATTTTCATAAACGCATAGCATACTTGCAATATGTATTTATGAACATACTGCAAGTACAGATTGTTGAATTCTGAATTAGGGGTCTGTTCCACTAAGGAGCCATATACAAAAGAAAACACTTTTTAATATTACAGCCTATGTCATATTATTATTATAATTATTATTATTATTATTATTATTATTATTTTACAGTTGAGGAATACAAGATTTTATGTAAAACTATTTTCAAAACCCAATTTTCTAAAACCTGGTCTTATGTAGGTTTCATTGTATTCATATTTTTTTCAGTGTCAGCATCATTGTATTTACCTATATTCAAAGTGGCATTAAACACAAATGAAGCCTAGGTGTAAATTCAAACTGGAAGACTTTTTACACCTGCATCATTCAATCGGCGCGTCCCGCTAATCACCGACGACCTATCAACCCTGGACCAAGCCATGTCACGGCCAATCACCGACCATGCCCCATTTGAAAATGACCTCCATCCATGCATGGCGTCTTTTGCTTTGCTGCTGCGCTCAACCCACCTTCACCCCTTCTCCACCTCCACTCTCCAGGCACACTTCATTCACCGACCTCCACCACCAGTATGGGACCCTGGGGGATGACATTCCTATCAGCATTGGGAATTCTCATCCGATTATCACAAATCACATGTCCTTAGCCGGGCCCAAGCGCCAAAGACTTCAATTCATGTATGTCAATAAATTTTTCTAATCGCTTTCTTTCTCCGTCTGAGAAAGAAATGCCAGATTGAATTTCAGTTTATAAAGTGTTTGATCACAATGGATGGATGGATGGATGGATGGATGGATGGATGATGGATGGATGGATGGATGGATGGACGGACGGACGGACGGACGGACGGACGGATGGATGGATGGATGGATGAATGGATGGACGGACGGAAGGAAGGAAGGACGGACGGACGGACGGACGGATGGATGGATACCCAGGTGTGCCGCACACATTATAATGAACAAGTTCAGTTTAACTTCATCAGAACAAAGTCGGTAATTTTTCATGTCTGGTTAAAGAAACACTTTCAACTTTAAATGCTTCCAGATAAAATAGCTGATGATAAAAAGAGCAAATGTATGAATCACACTCTTTTTTAGATTTTGCACAGGTACATCTAAAAAAGTTAGGAAATCATTAGAAAGTTCAAGATTTTTTGTCCCTTATTTTGGAAAGTGAAACTATTTTGGTTTCGGTTTTTATTGTCAATGGTCACTTTCAAAATAAAAGCCTGCTAAAAAAAATATATGTTTGTGCAGACAGAATTATGACTGACATACATTTCAGACATCTAATCACAGCCTGTTTTTCTGACTGGTGGATATTACCAGAACTTCTTTTACTGGGTCACTATTTTCTCCTCCTCTTTAAATGAGTTTGGTAGTTTTAGAACTGAATCGGTTTTGAGATGCAGTGAGACCTGGTATTTATTTTTCGGTAGTGAAAACTTCCTTCCAATGAGCTAGCTTCATTTGTAGATGAATGATTACAGGGACATTAAGGTAGATGGCTGCAGTAGCCTACATCAGCCATTTAACAGCTAAATCAGAAGGGCTAAATAAATTAATGAATGAACTAATACAGCATTAATTTTGAAATTAAAAATAATTATAATAAATGTATTTAGTCTGGCTGCCCACTAGGGGAAAATGGATAGATGGATGGAAATGTATTAACTTATGTTTTTGTATTTCAATGTCTGTCTTGACCATGTTTACTGAAACTTTCACATGCATATTTACTGATTTTGTTTTTATTTATTTATTTATGCTTTGGATTGTGGCACTTGTGGCGCTCCGTACTCTGCCACATAACCGCAAAAGGCATGTGCAGCAGCAGCAGCAGCAGGCGAGCGCTCATTTCCTCATCAGGGTATCTGCCGCCTCATCATGGCTCTCAACATTCCCGGTGTGGCCGTGATGGTTCTTTTCTACCTGCTGGTCCTCGGGATTGGAATCTGGGCTTCCGTCAAGTCCAAGAAGGAGGCAAAGAAAGGCCGAGGGGACAAGACGGAGATGGCTCTGCTGGGCAACCGGGGCATCAACCTGGCGGTCGGCATCTTCACCATGACAGGCGAGTAACTGATTAAGAACTGAGGGACACGAGGGGAGAGCCTGGCTCTGTTTCGACTCAAGATTTTTACATAAAATCATATTACGGTATTCTGCTTAAGACGTGTGATCTGTTATACATTAATGATCATTTAGATTTAATAATAAACCACAATTAGGCTATTGAGTGTTGCTATAAAAACATATAGTGTCAGCTGTCTTTAAATAGAAACTGCTCTCAAAAGTGAAACTATTTCAGAACAGGAAGCTGATGCGGGTAAAGAAAAACTGCTTGCAGTAAGAATTTAGCATCAGACTCAAAGAACTGTGTAATATGAAATAAAAATGAATCGAATTATCCTTAACTCTCTTGATCGTGTACATTTCAGATCTGCATGGTTTCAATTTGCGGATCTGAAGAAGCTTCTGTTCTTAGGTGTTTATTGTTAAACTTGCTCCATGCGGCTTGTATGCAGGTGGAGGATATTTAGGCCAGTCTGGTCATGTTTGGAGAGGCTCTTTTATGAGAAACAGAAGTGGGGAAAAAAATAAATGTTATGTAGTTTTTATTTTAAAATGTGAGCTGAACTAGCAGAATACTGATCAGTTTGATTTGGTATAAAACATAAAAAATACAAGTAAAGAGAAAAAAAATAGTCGGTTTGGTCATGTAACTTTCACACTTAAACAAAAGAAATATCATGTGACGTCATTAACCAGAGACGGTTTATATCACTTAGTGGTATTTATAATATAAAAATGCTTTTTGCTTGTTTTGTAGTGGTGAACAAAAGTCATTGTGGAAGTGCCCCCTACTGTTAAGATATGGGCACAGAACTGCCTGGAAATACATGTTAAAAAATAAATAGCCTACATTTAAAGTTTCTGTTCAGTGTGGCTTCACCTTTAATTATCTCAAACAAAAGCGAAAATTAAATCAAATTAAAATTTCTACCAATCAGTTTTTCAACTAGAAAATTGATCATACTATTTGTTTTAAAATCAAACTCCAGTACAAAACATTAAACATCCAAAACAAGAATAGAGTGGTATCTGTGCATGTTTATATAACTACATTTCCTCAATTGAAACCAGAAACGGGGGCAAATTGATCATTGATTTTCATTTTAACATGCAGTATATATGTTACATGTTCACGTTTAAAATAATAAAAGCCTAATATCACTGACTGAAATGAAGTGAAAAACTGGTGTTGATGGTGCTGTGAAATCCTCCACACTTGAGCTATGTTATCATCCACAGGCTTTATTTAGCCAAACACTGCCTACAGCCGCTGCTGGCACTTAGTCCCTTTGACATTGCGCTCAGATGAGATTAAAGAAGGTTGATTTAATATATATTTTTAATCAATGTCTTTATTTGATAAGTTCATGGTGTTTTGGTTTTCTGGTTGAAAATATACTTGGGACCACATTTTGTGTTTGAAGATTCAGCTCCTTTAATAGATACAGTAATTTTTAAAAAATATTACAGTCCCTGTCTTCTTCCTGTGAAAAATGTCAGTTTTTACATTTCTCATCTACAATTATGTTTTTTTATGATTATTATTTTATTTCAAATATAAAAAGGAAAATAAAAATCAAAACTCTTGTTGATCTTTTTTTTTGACAGCGTAAAAGAAAATTTGTCATTTCCACTAACTGTTTTGTATTAGAACAAATAAGTACTTGTTTTCTTTTGAATTACTAGTTTGTGAATAAAAATGTGCCTCTGTGTGAAGCTGTGTGTGTATTTCGGTCGCGCAGCTACGTGGGTTGGAGGCGGATTCATTGTGGGCACAGCTGAAGCTGTCTACAACCCATCCATGGGTCTGACCTGGGCCGTGATGCCGATAACAGCAACACTGTGTTTCATAATAGGTAAGATTTCCTCTCTGTTGTTCTGTAGAAACAGGCAGAGTGTGTCATGATCAGTTTCACTGTGGATGGTAAATTATTTAGAGCTTCAGCTGGGACGCTCGATACACGTCACTCTGTACTGGAGAGCAGTCCACTTTATTTTGAGTGCTATCTCTACTTGCTGCATACATCAGTGTCTGCTGCTCTTAAGGAGGATTTAAAGTACCTGCTGGCTAAAACAACCTGCAAATGAAGGCTGTTCATTTAATGAGAGCTGAGCTGAGATGAGACATCAAAAGATGTTACTGTCATTTCCATCAAGCACAGATTCTCATCTTAAAGCAAATAGCTTTTCCTAACGTTTCACCTGAAACAGCTTTTGTTTTTGGTGTTTAGTTGGAAAGTGATGTGGATTAATCTGGAGAGAGAAGCAGGGTTGGCTTTGATGTGCATAACAGTAAATGGAGATCCTGTGATGAGTGACGACATGATGGTGGATGTGAACAGAGAGGGAACCATGGACCGAACCTTGAGGTGCACCACCCCTGACTGAGTCTGTTCAGGACATTGTTTCTGCTCTGTGTTATTGTAAAAAAACACATCAAAATTCTGCAGTTTTTTTTTTTTTTTTTTTACACCATGGCACATTTTTTGGGATAAAAATACTTCAAGCATTAATTTGTATAATTTTATTAAAAAGTTCAAATAAGAATAGTCCTGACAGTTAAAAAAATCTACCCAAACAACAGATAGAGATCCCAGTTTTACACCAAACCTCTTGGTTAAAGTAGAGGTTTTTCCACAAGGGTAACTCTTCCTTATGGGAATGTCTCACTGCTCACTATGTCAACTTAAAGTGCTAAAAAAAAGGATAGAAATGTGTTTGGTTTTGTCGCTACATGACGTGTGACTGTTTTCATTTACAACCAAAGGTGGGTTCTTCTTTGCTGAGCCGATGCGGAACAGTAAATACATAACTATGATGGACCCCTTCCAGATCAAATACGGGAAAGTTCCCACAGCGGCTCTGTCGCTGGCATGCCTTGTATCGGAGATCATGTGGGTTACAGGAACGCTCATTGGATTAGGTAAGAATGTTTCTATATATGCATCAGTGGAGTGTGTGTGAGTGTTGATCCTGACAGCTGAACTTCAAACTGCTTCTATTGTGCAGCTCTGACATCATTCCACATCCAGCAGCAGCTGCAGCGGCGATTACTAATGCCGCTGAAATCAATCTCAACTTTATTACATTTATACAAATATTTCTAATGTTTAAAAAAACAACTATCTACAAAGCACAACATAATCAGAGTTTACATTATATTTCTCAATATGATGATGTTGTATGATTTTATTTAGGCAGTATGTTTATATGTATCTAGACATGCAATGGTTCTTAAAACCTTCCTAACCAAGGCAACTACAGTAACCCAATATCATCGGATCCGGTAGAACAGCAGGGTACACTGTTCCACTTTTACAACACTAACACTAACTCAGATTTCTGTAAATATTTTAAATTTAGAAAAAGAACATTCCTGGTTCTGAACCTTGTGCTTTTTATCTTGAACTGTGTTGATATTTTGGGAATGATCATTCTGGGACCTCTGCTACAATCTGAATAAATGAAACTGGAATAAAACTAAGAATTAAAGAATCAGTTTCTCTAAAATTGGATTTTTTAAACTTGGATTCTAATGAGAGTCACATTAGAGGCAGGCTCATGTTTTCTGTTGTGGAACAAATTAACCTACTGTTCACATATGGAAAGAATTCAGAATGGAGAATCACAACTTTTGCCTTGTTTTAATGTCAGGAGTGAAACAAAGTTGGATCTTTTCACATAAAAATTAGATTTTAAGCTGCTCATGAAGCTGTTGTGAAGAGTCAGCTTCTAACAAGAAACTGACTTTCCCACAAAAAAAAGGAGAAACAAAATCAAATACAGTTGAACTCTATGAAAAAGTGCTTTTGTTCAGTATCTCACAGTACAAATTCAGAATAGAGTCTAAACAAAGAGGGAACAGATAATCACAAAGCTGTCTGGACAAAACATTAGCAAACATGGTGGGGCTTCCTCAAGGTCTGCTCAAACACTCGTCTGACTCAATTCTGTCTGTTTTCACCTTTCACACTACATGAATCCCATCTCACCATAATGTTTCACTAACTAGCCATAAAAATCCTCAACCTGAATACTCTCCATGACCTGTCTCCCAAAATAACTATTTTTATTTTGATGTGTCACTCTGTGTATTTAGTTACAATCCCAAGTAATGATGAGTGAGTGGAAAGCCACATACCAGTCAGCAGCCATCCTCACATTTCTGAAATACTGCACAGGATTGCTTGCTGTAATGAGATCTTTTGCTGGCTACTTCTAGTCAACCTACTGTTGGCTAGAAGTAACCTAGAAGGTTGACTAGAAGATACATATCTATCTATATAGATATTTATACATATATATATCTCAACTTTATTACATTAAAACAAATATTTGTATAAATATTACTATATATCTATATAAATATCTATATAGATCTATCCATCTATATATATATGCCATATTTTCTTTGAACTATTTTAGATATTTGCTTTGAAAAAATTTGGGAACAATGCACTAGAATTACCCAAATACCCAACTGCAAATACTCCAGGGTCCATATTTTTTCATATGAACCACATGGTTATAATAATAACAGTAACAATAGAGTTCCTTCTGGCTACATCTATTGTTTCTGCTCTGAAACAACCTGGTTGGAATTTCTAAGCTTTCTCACGGGACATGATAATAGCTTGCTAAAATGTTTTCTACTGCATCAAATGAGCATTTAGTAGTGGCAAAGAACGAGTGAAATACTAGATCTTACATAATCGGGTAATGTATGTTGTCCAAACAGCAATGTATTTCAAGTGATCAAAATACTCTGTGAAACTTGAGCCACTGATTAATCTTTCACCTATCTGGTATTCTATAGCTCTGTGCCTAATGCTATAGAGCTGTAGAAACAATGAGACTCCCCAGTCTCATTGTGTGTATGTGTCATGACTTGGAACAAAGTGAACAGGATATAGGACACTTCCCTGTTGGTCCACGTTAAATTAATATTAGTTGAAAAAATATTGCCCTAGTCGGAGCAAATTCAAGCTTTTGGCTTGCCAAGTTGAGTGTATATTTATCTCTATACAGACAGAATCTGTATAATGTGGGGTGCCATTTGTAACGTTATGTTGTGAAAAAAAAAAAGAGCAGCAGTGATTCTGGTTATTTAACCTGTAAGAGGAAAAAAATACCTATTACATTCTTCAGTCAAATTTTCAACATGTTATTCATTCATTAATAAAATGAATGAGTTTTAAACTAAATATTTAACTAGCAAGCTAACAGTATAGTAAGTAAACTACCATAAATAGCTTACCAATGTCGCTAATTGCATATTTAGCTAAGTAACTTTTTTAATAATAATAACGTTTATGAAAGTGCTTTCTGGTCATTTTTCTTGGTCAGAACCCAGTTCATTGTATAATTCAAGTTCTTACTGTTTGCCTGCTGTGTATTTGCTCAGGAGTGACCATGAGTGTTATCCTGGATTTGTCCTACACTGTGAGCATCTGGATATCTGCTGCTGTAGCCATCACCTACACACTGCTGGGTGGCCTCTATTCTGTGGCTTACACAGACATCATTCAGCTCGTACTCATTTTCATCAGCTTGGTGCGTTGTTTTTCCACTTATTCTTTTCTAATTTAAACAATTGATGTCTTAATATGTGTCCATGTTTGCGGCTATAAATTTGAGGCTGATTAAAATGCATTAATTGTACCAGCAGTTTCCAGTTCATGCAAAGTGTAAATGACATTACTGAAAGTATCATCCTTCTTATTTTATTTTAATCTGGCTGATGGACAGCAGCTCAAGCTGCAGCGCCTACTGATCCTTTTCAGACATGCTGTATGCTGTCCAGTAATTTTTCTTGTCTCAGCACAGTACAACATGTACTCCCGTCGATTTCATGTCAATTGATATAGATGTATGTATGTAATGAAGCCTTTTTAATTCTTGGCTTATTTTCAAACCTGTTTCCTCTGAACTGAGACTGAAGATTTTGGGACAGGTGCTTGAATGTTTGAGACATTTGGGTTTCAAACTTTCAACCAAACTGGATGAAGAATAATGGATTTGACTATTTTGAGACCTTAAAGCTGTAGAATATGTTTCCTTCAAGAGCTGTAAAGTATTCAACCAGAATGCTGCCATAAGCTTATTGATGGCTGCAAAAACTACGTAACTGTTGGGGGAGGTGAAGCGTTTTCTCTACCATTATCCAATGAGATCATTGGATAATGAGGACAATCACAGCATGTGATAATGTGTTGTCGCGCTTTTAGAGGTTCGCTTTTAGCCAAGCCAGTGGCATCGACTGGCCAAAGTGCCATACTTTGATACGGTATTCTCGGAACATGAGCCCTAATAGAGCGTTCATACAAATTCCAGCGTGTGACCCGAATGAAGTTACAGAAAAACCCCCGAGCTGATGTCTTTTGATGTTAACCTCACCAAGACCAGAAGCCTAGGGGAGACACTGAGGAGCATGCTGTATTTCCTGACTATAGAGCACACCTCACCATAATATATACCCACAAAGTTAAAAAAAAAATTTGAAAAGTATATATATAAGCTGCACCGGGCTACTAGGTTAAGCAGATGGCCGAGTCCTTAATAAATTTACTATTGAGGACACAGCCCTGCGTCTCCAACGCCAAACCATGCATTCGTTCACACCGAGCTTACGTGCAGCGGTTATCAATCCATACTGCCAGATCGATAGCCTTCAACTTAAACCATATGAACTTCTTCCTGTTATTTCAATGATTAGGGTTGAATTATGAGTTTGAAAGCATTTCTCCATCGTGCTTGCTGCTAGCATATGTTTGTTCTAAATGAAAATCTGCAGTTTCTTCTTTGATTTCCAATTTTGACTTCCAATGATTCACTTCCTGCTAAAGAACCCCCTGGCAGATGAAGAAAAATCCACGCCGGGCTACAAGCCACGCCGGGCTACAAGCCAAGCCACGCCGGGCTACAAGCCACGCCGGGCTACAAGCCACGCCGGGCTACAAGCCACGCCGGGCTACAAGCCACGCCGGGCTACAAGCCACATGGTTCAAAGTGTGGGAAAAAAGTAGCGGCTTATCAGAAAAATACAGTACCTGAACCCATATCAAGTTGATCTTGTGTGGTTTAGAGAAAATCCAAAATACAACTGGTCTTCAACATCCAGTTCTTGCTTTTCAAAATTAGTGAAGTTGTGTAACCATTCTTTGAAAAAGAGCAATTCAAGTAAATCCTTTAAACTCCCAAATTTCCAATATTCATGAAGAAATTCTGACTGAAACTGTATAATTTTAGCCCGATGGATTTACAAACAGCAATAAGCAATGATCTTATTCTGAAAGGAGGGTTTATAAATGAAGCTATTGTGGTTCTAGTGGCTGTGTGTTCCCTTCGCCCTGATGAGTCCGGCTGTCTCAGACATCACCAAGACAGCCTTCAACCAAACCCTCCAGTCTCCCTGGGTGGGTTCCCTGGAGCCAGACCGAGCCTGGAGGTGGATTGATAACTTTCTGCTTCTGGTATGACCAACTTCATGTTTCATTTGTAAAACTTTTTCATCTTCAGCTGAAAAAGGGTGAAGATGATCTTTGGAGAGTACTTCTTTGCGATCTAAAGGTTTTTCATAGACAAAATCTGAGACGGTCGTCTCCCAACACGCCTACAGTTCTTCTGGTGTTGGGGATTCTCCTGTCAGCCCGATTCCACCTTGAGGGAAACAGTTCTTCAGCCAAATCCTACATCCTGCTGTTACGCAGCTCATCTCCTGCCAGCTTCCCACAGCTCTTATTTTTCCTTCCATTTTCTTTGTTTCTCAGGGTTTGGGCAACCTAGGTCTGCAGAATTTTCACCAGAGGACGCTTTCTGCATCGTCCTCGTCTACAGCCAAGATCACCTGTTTTGCTGCTGCATTCATTGTTCCCACACTGGGAATACCGCCTATTCTCCTGGGAGCAGCTGCTGCGTCAACAAGTAGGAACCACTGTGGAATAAGAAACTAATTCACCACATTATGTTATCATGATACTTCATGTAGGACAAAATCTTTACTCTTTTCCTTACAATAGAAAGATACAGAGTGCTTTGTGTTATGTAGTAGATTTAAATGAAGGAACAAGTCAAAGATTGAGATAATTCAATGGAAATATCGTACAGACACTTTGTAGAGATACCAGAGCAGTTACTGTGAAAGCCTGTTAAAGTTTGTTTCCACAGCTTCTCATTTGGGTTTCAGTCTGGACTTTAGCTAGGCCATTCTAACACATAATGATTGTGGTGTTCAAACTTCTTGACATTTCTTTTTATTTAGTTCTTTAAAAGTAAAAATAAAAGAAAAAATATATATATGTATTTTACCAACTCAAAAAATATGATTTTTTTTCTTAAGAGACAAAAGTTTCCCAATTCTTTCTGACAATAAAAAAATGGGTGTGTAAATGATGGCAAGTTTATTTTTATGATTGACAGATTAGTATTTTCTTGACCTAGAAAACTTGTAGTCTGTTCTCAGAATCCAGAACGGAATTGTAGTAAATCTCCACATTTCTTTAGACAAGTTCAATAAATGGCCTTATTCTGCTTTGAGTAAAATTCATTGGATGTTTGTGTTTCTTTTTTAATCAAAGAGGCAGTGTTAAGTAAAATCCAAATTTCTAGCTTTTTTTTGTGTGGAACCTAATATTTCCCATTTTATAAAAATATTACGTTGTTGGTGAGACCTAGATTTTTTTAGACCGTTTTTTTCTTTTCATTTCATAATTTTATTTTTTTATGTTGAACTCACATCCAAACAAAACTTAGCAGCTAAAAATTACAATATCATAAAAAATGTCAATATTTCTTGTTGCTCATTTTCAAAAAAGAAGGAATTGAAGAAGAATGTAAGTGGTCTGAGGTATTAAAACCTGAGTTGTCCACTGTGGTTCCATCTTTTTTAGGATCAGTTTTCAGACCAGCCAAACAAACGATGACAATGTTCTCCGTCTTTATTTGTTCTCCTCAGATTGGAACCTGACTTCTTATGGATCCCCAACTCCTCATGAACGTGGGGAGACGGGGCTCGTCCTGCCCCTCGTCCTACAGCACCTCACCCCCTCCTACATCTCCATCATCGGTATCGGGGCGGTGGCAGCTGCCGTGATGTCATCCACTGACTCAGCTTTACTTTCTGCAGCCTCCATCTTCACCTCCAATATTTATAAGAGCATCTTGAGGACGCAGGTAAGAAGATGACAACGCTCACCTAAGAAAATCTGCTGATGCCGATGGATGATCTGTTTTTTTGGCGTTCCCCCTCGGCAGGCGTCCGACCAGGAGATCCAGTGGGTGATCCGCTGCTCTGTAATAGTTATGGGCCTTGCTGGCACGTCGCTCACCTTCCTGGACAACAGCGTCCTGATGATCTGGCTGCTTCGCTCCGACCTCACTTACACCCTCATGCTACCTCAGCTCATCTGTGTGCTCTTCTTCAGCGTCTCCAACGGTTACGGGGCCGTTCTGGGTTGTGTCGTCGGGGTCCTCCTGCGGCTGCTCTGTGGGGAGCCGGTACTCGGCATACCGGCCATCATCAAATTCCCAGGATACACTCTGGAAAACGGAGTGTACATCCAGCGCTCACCAATCAGAACAATCTGTATGCTGTCTGCCGTGATCTCCATCTTGTTGTTCTCCTACCTGGCTTCTGTGCTCTTCAAGCACTGCCTGATTCCCGAGAAGTGGGACGTTTTCAATGTAAAGTCTCAATATTCAATACAAGTCAGCCATAAGGCCATTGCTACGGACCACAACCTGAATGATCCAAGTGAGGACAGTGAAGTGTGTGAGCTGAAGTTTGAAACAAAACTTTAGTGATGAATGACGTGATGCAATATGCAGTTTGTTAATTTTTAAAATAATGATTTCATAATGATTTTAGTTATTGTGACATAGCCAATATTTGTAGAACTTTGCATCGTTTGTTTGCAGTCATGGGAAAAACAATAACACATATGTTTTTTGTTATACAAGCCCAGCATTTCTGCAGTTTATGCAGCAGTGAAATGTTAAAACACACCTACAAGACAGCTGGTCCAAATACATCACAGGCCTAACCAGAACCAGACATTTACTGGCTTTAAAATCATCCTCATGGATTATTCAGTTGTAGCTGCTAGTAGTGAACTCTTCAAACTGCTAAAATTAGTATTTTTCTGACCTAGTTTCTTCAGATGGGCAAATGTGGACAGGTAGGTTGTGTCTTACACTGGGACCTGACATTCTGTTTTTTGATGGGTTTTCTGAAACAATAATAACAAAAAAAACATTTAAATTGACACGAGACTCACATTAAAACTACAAAAGAGCAAATTAGAGTAACAAACAACTTGGTTAAGCTCAATGATTTTTAGATTAATTCTGCATCGACAAAGAATGTTTAAAATAAAAGACAAATTTAGCTTTCCATGTCACAAAACTTCAATGACAATTAAAATGTCGTACTCTGAAACATAACTAGTAAATATTTGCCTTTCTGTATGTATTATACAAACAGTTCCGTGGAAAACAACTGGCGCTAGCTTAATTACAGAGAAGGTAACATGTAAACGCCTCAACTCAGCATTTAGGTTGAAATAAATAACCCACCTGTTTTTATGGTTAAAAAATGTTTACGTTATCTCAGAATTTTTGTCAGGTAGACGTTGAAAATAAAAATGTCAGATTTTCCACAAATCTTAAACATTTTCTTCAATAACTGCAGAAAACAACGTGAACAACAGTTCAAACAACAAATAACTCGACTTTCTAGGTATTAATAGCTAGAATAAGCTATTATTTCTAGCTAATTATAGTAATAAGCCAGAAATAATAATTACCAAATCGTGAGGCAAAAAACCATGAACTATTAGCTATCCTTGGTAAAACTTGTTTTAAATGTTGGTAGTGCAGAAATCAACGATGACTTCCTTTTGGTGACATAAGCCAATTGATACCAAAGTAAAACTGATGTTTCAAATTAGAATTTTGTCCTGGAAATTTGATTAGTGTGTGTCAGAAATGTACAGCTCTATTGCTGTAAAAGCCCTGCTGAGGTAAATTAGCGATAGCGATCTATGTTTTGACATCCGACGTAAACTGTAATGGAAAATACAGGAACGGTAGAACACGAGCGCCATATTCATTTGCCACAATCCACTTTTGTAAAACTGATATTGCCCTGTGTTGAATTATTTTTATGGCTTTTTCAATTCTTCCAAAGTTTGCAAAACAAATTTTTTGTCTACAAATGTTTTTGTGCCTTTTTTAAATTTATGTTTGCTTTCAAAATTTCATCCACCCTGTGCCAGTTTTTTTTTACTGCAGGGAGGATGTTTCGTATCCACTTGAATAACTAATAATATAAAGTAATTTCTTCATTGAGCTTCATCAAATGTGACTTGGATCATTCTCATCAGGAGGAGGTGACTCATTTCCTCAAACTCATAACATTTTATATTACTTAAGAATAAATGGACCTAAATGGAGCTTGGAGCCATTATGATTGGAAATGGGGATACAATTTTCAGAAAAAAAAAATTAAAAAACTGAATTGTGAGACTTGAAAATTTGACTACCAAGAAGCCGGCCCTCAATGGCAGGTACATGGGTAGCTGATATTTTGAGGTGGACAACTTGTCTAGCATAGGGCTATCCCTCGCCTCTCACCCTAACACAATACCACTTCCTCCTGCTACCCTGAATGTGAACAATAAAAAAGAAATGAGGAGATTTTAGTGGTTTAGTATTAGTGGTTTTTCACCACTAACAAACTAAGCCATGGTGCCTAAAGCATTTGCTACACTACTATTCACACATAATAGTTGAGAATATATTTAATGGATAACAACAGAAGCTATAACATCATTCTTTGTCACAATTAATATTAAAATAAGTTACCAACACCAGATTGTACTTAGCTTTTCTGTAGCACAACTGTTCAGAATCCAAAATGGAAATAGCCATCTCACAAACTTCAGAAAACTGGTGCTTTGTCTTCTTCCTCCTCTTCACAGTTGGCAAAAATATTTACTGGCAAGTTATTGACACTTGAAGAGTCAAAAGGTTCACTGCGTGACATAGTCAATTCAGTTTTGATTCCAAAGTAAAAATGATGTTTCAAATTAGAATTTTGTCCTGGAAATTTGCTTAGTGTGTGTCAGAAATGTACAGCTCCATGTAAAAGTCATATTACTCTTGACTTTTAACTCCAATGTCAGAACCAATTTGCTCTCCATATAGTTACAAATGCTATATTTAGATTAAATTAGGTTAACAATGAAATATGAACACCACATTTTATACTGTGTGCCATTTGATTGGCAAACTAAAGCAGATCTTATCGATAAACATGAGTGGAAAATAAGTGAATGCAGTGACCAATAATAAAAGAACCTAGAAAACAAGATGTCATGTGATATTTATTGGTAATACATAGGTTTTAATTTGTATGCATGTACTGTAAATGAAGAGTCTGCTATAATGACCATATAAATACCCCATTTTTCCATTCAGGCCAACTCATTTGTACCTGGATGGAGTAAGTCCATCCAGGTACTAACAGAGTGCGGTGGTTTGAAACCAGAGTTTTGCGGTGGTCTTTAGCTTCGTACCAACATGAAGGATCATGATAAACCAGGACGCTCAAACTCTGGTGTGTTTGAACCTTTGTCCAGGACAAATAAAGAAGTGTCTCTGGTCTGTTAACTGAAGTCAATGCAGATGTGACACTTGAAGGACTTTGTTTTCCGAACTTGAAGCCATTTTTTTCAGTGAGCTCGCTGTTCATTTAATTTCCCATCTGTGTCTAAGACGTTCTGTCAGACTGTATGACCTAAATGACCCAAAACTGAACACAAAGTGGCCCCAGGTCATTTGCCATCAAAAGCCTGAAAACATGTAACGTATTTGTTACGTCCAAGTTGAATGTGAAATTGCTATGGATATTTTTGTGTTTAAACATATATTTTTGTTCAGGGCTGTGCAGAGACCTTTGGAGGGGCCGTTGCTCAAAGTTCAAAAAGGGCACATTGAACAAGATCTTAAAACACCGTACAACAACATAGCAACAACCCATAGTAATCAAGAATTGAATTGGACCTTCTATATCATTGCCATCATGTGAGGACAATGTATTTTTCCCATCAGGTATAAAGTTGCTGTTTCTGCTGCTGACAGTCCTTGAGAACTGAGTGATCTGAGACTGTAGCTGTTAAACAGACCAGAGGAGAGAAGGTCACTGGTAAAGAAGTTATGAGATAAGCAAATTTGCTGCCATTTTATTAATTACTATCTATTTAACCTCTACAACAACTTGGCTGCAGGCTGCTTTTATAGATCAAAAAAGCTCAAACTATATATAATTTTTTGATGTTAGCAAATCTGAGATCTAGAACCTTAAGACTGGCAAAGAAAACTCAGTAGCTACTGGAAGGGCCCTCAAGACATTCAGGGGCCCCTGAAAATGGTTTTATTGCAAGACAGACCATAAATCTAAATCTGTAGCATTCTTTTATAGAGCATGACAATGTTATTACATTTTATTAATGCATTCAGCTGAGAAAAACATGGTACATTTAGGATTTTATTAGGAAGTTTAACTTTGTGAAAGTTTAAAAAATCATCTTGATAGTTGTGTTACCATGGCTACGATATTGTGTAATCTTTGTGATTGAGTTGAGTTTGTTAACTAATACATCACAGCAAATAACCAATAATCATTGACCGTAAACTCGGCCAAGAAACCTGGTCTCCCTCTCATAGTCTTCACCTGAGTGGCGTATCTAGGCCCTGTTTTAGGGGCGCTTTAGCACCATAAAATAGATCCCGTGTATCTCAGCACCCTGAATAGGATTGATTGCCACCCATCCCGTAAAATACGGAGTCGTCACATATTTGGCAGTTAAATATGCGTCCGATATTGAACCGATACATGACTGTCCGATAGAGATTCCTATAATATTGTTAAACACTAAGTTTAACAATAATGGCAAAAATAAAACACAGGAAGACGGACACTACGCAGCTGCCGTAAGCTGCTACCAACCCGCGTCTTTTTAAATCGTCCTCTACCTGATTCCATGAAGAAAAAAGCTTTAAAAAATACAGACGTGAGAGAAAAGACGCGCATTATCAGCTGAACAATTTTTGTGAGGATAGATACTGTGCACATCGATCGACAAAGAACAATGCATCCGTTTGCTTCTGTGTAATAGACAGAATGGATAAGGGAAGGAACTGCAGACCCGTCAGAACCTAAAGAACCAGAAATCAGCTTCTCTTCATCCTCACTCATCTCCTGAGGCTGATAAGGTACAGAACATTTTACTATGATGGATTCAGTTTCTTATTGTGGTTTTAGTTTGATTATTATTATTGCTTAGGATGTTGAGTTTGGATATTTAATAATTCATAGCATTAGCCAAAATAAGTGGCCAGTTAAAGAACAAATCACCCTAATAGATTAACATTAAATACATAAATATTTTCTACATTACTTTCTGTGTGTTTTATTCACAAATGTTGATATATTTTATGAATAGTTGTTCAATGGTCATTTAATGTATTACTTCATTAATATTTTATTAATGTTGTTTACCTGTTTGGATAACCTGACTTCCTATCAATGAAGAAAAAAAACATGAAGCAAAACTGCACCAGACCCAGACCTGCAGGCCAGGGGCGGTTCTAGATGGGGTGTGGCTGCTATCAGCAGCAGTCTATACAGTTTGAGTTCATTTTATCATTTTAAGTTGGTGTAGATAAGTTAAAGTGTGGTAAAATATTTATACTCATTATAAGTTATGGAAATATTTGTGGAGTACAACCATTGTTTAATGGTTGTTTCGTTTAGGCACATATTTTTAGTTACACACGGCACTCGGTAGAGGGCAGCATGTTTTGTTTTGTTTTTGTCTTAGAGAATGGAAAGGTTCGGTGAGGCATTAAGGCTCGTGTAGCTGGATTGTAAGAAGACGCTACACAGTGTTTCTGTATTAACCCTTTCAGGTTGAAGCAGCCAATGAGGTGCATTTTTGTGTTTTAATAATTGTCTATTCTCTATGTGGATGTTTTTTTCTGTAAAAATGTATTTTGTGTTTTGTACAGTTCTCACGGCATAATTATAAAATGCCAGTAACAACCATGAACGCCTTGTTTCGTTTTCTACATGGAGGGAGTTCTATGGAGGCCAAGAGGTTCTGAAGAAATTATACGAAATAAATGTCTTTTTAAAATATTTAGTGTGATCAAACAAAACTCAGCAATTCTTGTTAGATGTTTCTAACATTAAACTGTTTTTCTGTTCTTGTCAGAAAAAATATTCACGTTATTCGAGTTTTCTTCTCATCCAAGAATTCAGCTATACAGAATTTAGTGAATGGGGATAAATCCCGATGTGTTACTACATAAACTAATTGCATATTTTGTAAGCAATGTTTGTTCTAGGCAGTAATAAAACTCTTCATTAGAGCAGCTATTTGACTTTTATCTGGAAAATACTGAAAGCAAATCGAGTCTTCCAGGGATTTAGGTGACTGACGAAGAGCCTTTAGTAAATTTCTGTGTGTGGCTATGCTGACACTTGCTGGCTAACAGGTTGTATACACTTTCATGATACTGCTATTGAGCTTTGAATAATACAAAGGTGCACTGTGTGTGTGAACTGAAAGATTTTCATGTTACAACCACAAACTTCAGTGAACTGCTATTTTATAATTTAGGTTACCTTAGGAAGAAAAACCTTAGTTTAATGTACATTTCTGTTCCAATGCCAGACATTACTCCTAACTTATACCAGAGGTCCAAAATACAAAGAGTAAACATACTTTGCCACAAGTGAGAATTTTGAAGGAGCTTAAGTCACTTAAGTCATTCTAAATCATTTATAATAAAGCAAATCTGATTCAAAACTTCAACAAGCCATCAAGTGAACATTTTTAATTTGTTTATTAATTGTTCCAGAAATGAACATCTTAGATAAATACGTTATTGGGAGTTGATTCAAGAAAAAAACATTTATATATTTCTCAGTTCAAACTTCAAGACCAGTTTCCTGTTTGTATTGGAAAAAGTTTTTATGTATAAATGCAACTTTGAAAACTTCTGCTTTAACAGACCACTTCCCCCAGTAGCAGAAACTTTCGACATCCAAGCCAACAGAAATAAAACCTTCCCAGAGGCAGCAGTCTGTGTCGCTTTGATTCTGTCTGCTGTAGAGACGAGGCGCTGGGCGTCACGGGGGGCCAGATGGCGCGTCTGCTCTGGGTCTGTTAGTCGGGTCAAGAGATGTTCCCTCGTACACTACCTTGTTCCGGATGCCGTCCTGTATGACCCTCTGCTGCACCCGTAACTTAACATTGTTCATTCTGCAGTAAAACCTGAAATGGCACAAAACAGTGAGAAAAACAGCTTTTCTTTTTGGCAGGGAAACGTGATAATACCAGAGAACATACCAAGACCCGAGAGTGGTGAGCATGAAGCCTGCAAAGCCGACATCAAAGGAGCGCCTTACTCGACCTGGCGACAGTAAGAACAGCATTTTGGATAAGATCCAACTGTCTGGTTAAAGTACAGCTCATTTTAACTGAAATAAAAATGTTTTATTAAAGTCAATGAATGGTTACTAGAGATGCGAATCTATTGTAGATTCAGACACTTTTTTTTTATTCAAATGGTCTGTTTACAAATTATGCGACTGACAAGAAAAGAGGAAGTGTAAGGATTTAAAATCAGTTCTTGAAGCAGTTTATATTTCAATTAAAGTACATTTGTGTATAAATTCTCTAACTTATTGTCACTGGTCTTTTGACTGAAAATAGGACTTTACAGTCATAGTGCATTTAAGTCTCAATCAGTGGATCAATTTGATGACTTTAACCTCAAATCTTCACTCCTCCACCTCTTCACTTATTTCCTTTTCTCAACATTAATACCAAACATCTCAAGTCCTGTTTCATCTGTCCAAAAGGACATAATTCCAAAACTCCTATGATGGAAAATTTACATTAAAAAAAATTTATATACATATAAAAATCTATAATTTATAAATATTTTTTATATAAAAATGTAATATATATATATATGGATGGATGGATTAATTTTCTCTTCTTCTCACTGGTGGAAAGAAAGAAAAGCAGGCCAGCAGCTACTGAGCCTCCAGTTCCATGCAGGATGGCGTCTCTGGCACACGGTGTCCTCTGGACATCTAGGATCCCCAACAGCTTAAAGCCCTGCAGAATGACACAGGAACCTCTAAAAGCCATGACACTGCACAGTAAGCCTTACCTATATGAGTATGCAAATATCAGCAAAATAAGCATTGCTGTAAAAAGCAGTCATTTATGAAACGTAAGATGGTTTCATAAATGCAGCAGTCATAACAGTCATAAACAAAGCAAAGAAGAAAACATTGCGTAAAGGACATAGACATTAAAAAAAGAAACTGTTTCAAACGCCTCATCAGTCAGGTTCTTCAAAATAAAGTCGGAAGTTGGTTGAAATCAAACCACCTGTTACCACCCACAGGCTTTGTTGGAAATTTTGGTTTATGGAAATAGAAGGCCACAACATAAAAACTTTATAAACTGTAATATTGATACAAAATGTTCCCTGAGGTATGAGCATATTATTTTTGGCTTGCATGGTAAGAATAATGCAGACAAAAGACCGGCAATCAATGTAATTATTTCCGTTGTTAAGGAGGCGCGTCAGTAACTGAAGATACACGACAAAAACGAGGGGTCTCTTGCAGGAACTTTACTCCTTTCAGCACAGATGAAGAAAAATGAAAACTGAGTTGTTCCCACAGAAGAACTGTGTGGCTTCTGGCCTCTAGCTCAGACACAGACAGCATTTAGTGATGTCCGGGCAGCGAGCGGTGAGTGCCATAACCAACAACAGTAAAAACATAACGGATCAGCTGTCAAGAACAGAATAAACAGAACAATGAAATCTTGCGATGCGACCTTCCTTACACTATTAGATTTGGCAAATTTCATGTTCACAAATTTAATTTTCTTCATCTTCACCTATTTTCACAGTTTTGATTAAGGAAATTGATCTCTATTAATCTACTATTTCCAAGAGTATGAACAAAAAATCTCAAAACACAAACGAATGTTGTAGATCTCTGAAAATCTTTAATTTATCATGTCTGTAATATCTATTCTTTTTGTTTTTCATACCAATGTATTTACTGTTGAAAGCTACACCCCTGGCATACTATATAATACATTGTGTTCCGTTTCTTTGCAGTTGTAAACAAAGATGATCATTTATTGATTAAAAAAAACCAAACAAAAAACAATTACTAAAAAAAACTAGAAGAGACAGGCAGTGAGTGGCCCGTGCCCGCTCCTTTCTGTTTCCTGTAGCGAGGTCCTTCTCGTTAATTTAGCCACCAGTTAATCCATAACACCGGAGCTGTTATTAATGTGGCTAAAACCGAATCTGTGGCTTCAGCTCGACATTAACTCTAAGAACCCTTATTTAAAGATGACCGCGTAAATGTAATGCGAGTAAAAATGCTGTGGTGTTACTTTTAAAAAATCTGTGTATCTCTCTTTAAGGGTAACAAGGTGAAGTGGTGAAGGTTGTCACACTTTTGTAACGCTGCATGTTTCTGACCCCTTTGGCAAGACAGAAAGTGAAAAAAATAAGAACAAATAACATTTAAAAACAGCCAGTGGTGTGGACAACTGATAACCCTTGTAAAAACTGGAAGCTACGAAGCTATTGTTTCTCCAGTAAAAAGGAAAACATGCTCCGACCTTTTCCTGGCCTTCCCCTTCTTCTCTTGCCATCACTATCCAGCCTCGCTCTTCTTCTTGAAAGCTGATATGATGGGAAAATGCGCCAGGTCGAATAGGGTTAAGGTTGTCCGCCCATTCTTCATAGCCGTCGAACAACAAATATACAGAGACTACTTCGTTCCGGACCCGACTGGCAAACAGCGTCGGACGCATTTGGTCACCACTTCCGATACGTCACGCTCTGTTTCTGGAATAGTTCACGTACAAATCCGTTATATTTTCTGTAATTTTAATAAACAACTACTAGTTAATGCTTATTTGATTGCCTCTTTGGTTGATTCAAGGTGTTCATAAAAACTGAAACAATATTAGATGTATAGGAATACATTTGCATTTTATGTAAATGTAAAAAGTGCGTTTGAATCCTGGACAATAAAATAAAATGTTCTCTCTCGAACTACATTTCCCGTACTTTTCACTGCGACAGACTGGCGACCTGTCCAGAGTGTATCCCGCCTCTCCCCCGGAACGCAGCTGGAGAGGCACCAGCTGCGTTCCGGGGCTGCGTTCAATAAGTCTATCAGAAAATTGATGGATGGATCTACTGTTCCGTTTGTTACATACAATCCTAAACACTAAAAATTTCCAACATTTTTATTTAATATTCTTATTCTAAGTATGAAAAAAAAATAGCTCTGTGAAATCTAGTTTGTTTTCCATTCATCCGGATAGACATTCTTTTTTGTAATAAAGACGAACCTCAGGCGGAAGGTTTAAAGAACTCAGTCCTCATGTAAGGTGTTATTTAAAACTTAATTCCAAATGCACTCATCCAATCAGGACGCTCTAAAAGAGAGGATCAAAATCTAAAGTTGACAAAGCGAAACGGGAAACATGGCAGGGCGATCATTTCAAGATAAAAGAGGATTAACTTACCAGGTGATTAATCATTACCATTACTGTCTACATCCTGTTCTTTTCCAACATAACATCGCAGGGAAAGTAGCAGTTGTGTAAGGATTTTAAAGTTGATGAAATTCTGATTCTGAATACTGAATACTATCACTACGATAAGTCAATACGTCTATCTCATGCACGTTTGTTATAAAATGTGATCACGGTAAACTGAAACGGAACATTTTAATTCCCATACCAGAAGTCAAACACGGTCCGCCTGGGTGAAAATGAGGAAAACCTAATCGCTAACCCATATGGGAAAAGAATCAGCATATGATGTCCAACAGATGAACAAATACCATTAAGAAGCCAACGTTTGTTCCATCGGATTCAGTGGACCTCCGTTCCTTCTGAGAATTCCTACTAAGTGTCAGATAAGGTCCTTTGACATGCCAGGCGACAGTTTCATACATTTTATTTTGAAGGAAACTGATTTTGAAAAATATGTATATATTGCCTCATTTTAATTTTGTGATGTTATTTAAGCCACTTATTTTCATTTTAGTCCTTAAAAATACCTAGACCTCCACATAGCTTTATATTTTGGTTTGCCTGATTATTTGTATTGATTAAATTATTCATATTTGGATCAGCTACTCATTTCTTAAGTACCCTTTTTACTCTTTCTTAAGTAGTTTCTTGGATGGATACTTTTTACTTTTACTTGAGTAATATTATGTTGAAGTAATGTTACTCTTGACTAAAAATTTTTGGGAACTTTACCCACGTTTTCAATTAAACTGCTGAAATAAATCAGCTTTTCAATGACATATAAGTTTTTAGATGCATATCTGGTATAAAAAGCCAAATTCTTCTTAGTTTACTAAATTTATAGCTTGGCGTCATTTAACTTAATTTTCTTATGTCGTTTCATATTAACATCAGGTTGATCTGATGCCCTAGCAGCTCTGCCACAGTTCCAGTAACCTTGAGCAAAGCCCAGTTCTTAATCCTGATACTTAGTGTACCAGGATGTTGAAATGACTCAGTGAGAGGTTGATCCCTGGGATGAACAAAGGTTTTAAAAATGTTCCGTCCTTGGACCAAAATCAGGAAATTAGAGTTGATCCAATAAGCTCATCTCTGCTGTATAAAATCAGAGCAGGGTCATTTTCCCCATCACACTGCCTGAAGACACCCAGGAGGTAAGTCTTTGCTACTATTCACAGCTGGGCGATTTACATTAATGTCTATTAATTCACAATGTGAAGAAGTGGCAAAAAGAAAATGCCTCATCCTAAAGTTTCATTTTATGATGAGGATATGTACTTTGTTTTAAATTATTAGTACATCTGTTACAAAACCCAGTACTTCCAAAAAGTAAAGGGTCAAACATATACATCCATCCATTTTCTGATCACCCTTCTCCCTAACGGGGTCGGGAGTTGCTGGTGCCGATCTCCAGCTGCGTTCAGGATCAATTAACCTAACAGTCATGCTTACGGACTGTGGGAGGAACCCGGAGAGAACCCACGCATGCACAGGGAGAACATGCAAACTCTGTGCAGAAAGACCCTGGTCAGGAATCGAACCCAGGACCTTCTTGCTGCAAGGCAACAGCGCCACTGTGCAACCCCTCAAATATATACATTTATATTTTAATAAGACAGTGCTTAATACTTAAAATGAGATCATGAAAAAAGTTAACTAAAAATAAATCCTCATTTTGTTTTTTCTTTCAGGATGATGGCTCAGGAAAAGAGAGTGAAGTTCTCACTTTTGGAGTGTTTGTTCCTAGGAGCCTCTTTATTCATTTGGTCCCTGGCCCAAACAAGTAATCTTTATAATAATTTTAACACTAGTTTTATACAACAAGAACATTGTAATAACTTATATTGAGAGGATGAGAGAATATATGATGGACATAACCTTCAAAAATGTACACATCTCTGTTAAAATGCTAGCTTTTTATGATGTAAGAAATTAGTTCCAAACTTTTTCTGCATGCAATGAGACACATATCCTGTTCAATTCAACTGAAAAACAAACACATCTGGAATAATAATAACAAAAAATATTATAATCAATCAATACAATTTAATTTGTATAGTACATTTTAGCAACAAGCCATTCCAAAGTTCTTTACATCATAAAAACACAAAAAACACAATGCAACATGGAATCAACAATCAAAAGATTACATTTAGTCGAGTACCATCATTAAAGTTTTAGTTGATTATGCTTCAAAGGCAACTCTAAACAGGTAGGTTTCTAGTCTCGATTTAAAGACACTCGTTGTTTTAGTGGTTTTGTAGTTTTCTGGAAGTTTGTTCCAGATTTGTGGTGCATAGAAGCTGAAAGCTGCTTCTCCATGTTTGATTCTGGTTCTGGGGATGCAGAGCAGACCAGAACAAGAAGACCTCAGAAGTACAACAGCACATCTTTAATGTATTGTGTTGCTAAAGTGTTCAGTGATTTATAAACTAACACGATTTTAAAGGCTATTCTTTGAGCTACAGGAAGCCAGTGTAGGGACTTTAGAGCTGCCTAAAGCAGGAACTGGTATGTGCTCTATCTTCCTGGTTTTAGTAAGAGCGCCAGCAGCAGCTTTCTGTATCAGCTGCAGCTGTCAGACATAAATATCTTGCAGAATTTTCACATCCTTAGACTAACATCTTCTCAACAATTTTATTTTTTTATCGTGTTTTTCTCCAAAGAGTTTTTGCAGCATTAGTGGCTCGTTTTTTCAACAGTAGGCAAACAGGAAAGTGGGCAAGGAGAGGGGGGAAGATATGCGGAAAGGGTTGCCGGGACCGGGAGTCGAACCCTCGACGTCCGCGTTGAGGACTGAGGCCTCCAAACATGGGGCGTGCTAACCCTTGCGCCGCCACAGCTTCTCAACAATTTGTTTAATGGGAGTCTATTATCTTCCCATGTCTAGATAAGTTCTCAAAATCTCTCAGACTGTGAGGTCATCTATCCACATTCAAATTCTAAATTATTGAAGCTGTTATAGAATTATTTTTTTAAGGAATGTTAATATGTTTCAATAAATACAGAAAGATTGATCTTTGTCTTTAAGTCTCTTTATTCGAAGGCAAAAGCATTCGAAGACTTGTCTCACTGAGCGTAGTCAGGAGAAGAGCCCTGAATGACACAAATCACTAGAAAGTCACAGCAAGGCAAAGACGCACCCAAAGTCTGATCTCTATTTCCAAATGAACCACAGAGACAATTCTTAACCCCAACCCATGAACTATCTTCCATCTCTTTGAGGGGATGTTTTATGGCAGAAAAGAGAGCAGGAGAAAATTCTATTTCTTCTTTGTCAGTTACTCATGGGGACAGGGTCAAACAACATTTTCACACATGTCAGTCCTTTAAGACAATTTCCAGATCAAACATTTTACTCAAGATGTCTTCAGAACTTTTCCATTATCACTGCTGTGGAAACATCGAAACACTATCTGGAAACTTCTTTCATGGAAAACACACATCTTGCAGAAATTACAAAACACAGCAGATTAATGAGTAAATAAATGATAAAGAAAGTATCATCAGTTCCATTGAGAATTAAATAAGGCTAAAAAATGTATTTTCTATTACAAAGCAGAGGACCCAGGTTCAATGCAATAATGATGGTGGTTTTAATGATGACATACAAAATACAAAAATCCAGGCAGCACAGGTGAGCAGAAGACTTGGAGCTCAGAATTAGTAGCAATTCAAATAACAAAAACAGGCACTGGGGAGACACAACAAATGACAGTAGATACAAGGACCCGACAAGGAGCAGAGAACACAGGTGGGGTTAAATACTCAAGGGGTAATCAGTGTCAATGAGACACAGCTGGGAGCAATCAAGAAACCTAAATTAATACACACAAAAACCAAATTCTTACAGTACCCCCCATCCAAGGCTGGCTACCAGGCACCCAAAAAAAGAAATATCCCAAAACACAAAACAGCCCAACTAGGATGGCTGGAGGGGTGCCAAACAGGGGGCTAGAGTTCAAGGAAAAACAAAACAAAATAAACTCAGTTTCAAATAAGTGGCTTAGGGTGGGGCAAGGAATCTGGTGGGCAGCGATGAAGGAGGCGGACCCATGAAAGCAGGGCTGGAGACCAGTTTCATGCAGGAGGCGGATTCATGGATGCGGCACAGGAGGTAGACCCATGGAAGTTGGTCCAGAGGTGGCGCAGGAGGATCCATGGAGGAGCTTGGGTCTTGGAAGGAAGGTTGGCTGGAACTGGCAGAGGGCTCAGAGGGGCCGGTGGGAGGAGCCGGGGAGTTACTGGTGTGGTGGATCATTTTCTCTGAATGAATAAGTCATAGAACTCAAAAATTGTTTCTAACATAACAGAGTATTTTTTAAACTGTTCACAAAGTGGACAAAAATTCTCTTCTAAATCTAAATAAAAAATAATGTTCTGGTGCACTGGAGAAACGACCAGGGAAATCTGTCACAGTGATTGTTGAACAGGTGAAGTAATCCTGTTGAGGGGTGAGCAACACGTTCTTCAGCTGATCATAATCTGACTCCAGTCCTTGTTCCTCCAGCAGCAGTGGAGAAGGCAAGACCTCAATATCCTCGTATAACTCCTTCTGGGCCAACTCCAACTGCTGCTGGATCCACCTCTCTTGGTCTTGTCCATAAGTCTGGTCCTTAGAAACTGCAATCCTCACCTCTGTTTGGTTGGGTCCTTCAAAGATGAAGTGCAGTTCTAGAATGGGGAGTATCGAAGCGGAGGACCCAGGTTCAATGCAATAATGATGATAGTTTTAACGATGACATACAAAACAAAAATCCAGCCTGCTCTGACTGAATACACTGTTTTTCAAAAACAGTTTTGGACATTCCAGAACTTTGGATTTGCTTTTATGAAATTATTCTTTTGTTGATTTGCATACAACTCATTTGAATCAAAAACTGACCGGTTGTCACTCATTCTCCGTCAAGATTTTTGGCTAAAAGGATTAACATGGTGACATGGAGAATTCCTGTTACTGTAACATGTAGGAAAATACCACCAGGACAGCTGAAGTTAATTTCTGGTCAATCAGATTCACTATGATGATGGATGTTTCTGTGAATTCAAAAGACTGAAGATAAAGATAATCATATATTTGTTAAAATTGATTATTCTGCATGTATATGTCTAAATGAGAAAAAGAACCCCTTAAAGTTCACCTTTAGATTTATTGTGAAAGCTAATGACAAGGTGGTTTAAAATTACTAAGGAGTAAAATTTCCAGAAAAATGTAACTCCAAATCTAAAGATTCTCATTGCATTTGGAGGAATGTTTTGGATCAAGGTGGCCAAAACATTCCTGGATATTCTGATATGAATATTTCTAGAACAACAATTGTTACCTACACAGTTAATGTATTTTGATGAGAAAAGCACAAACAGGAATCTGTGATGAATGAGTGAGTGACCTTTTTTCTGTTAGCAGCAGCCTTCCAGCTTCCACACTGCCAGCTCATCAACAAGACAATATCTCTGGAGAAGAGAGGCTGCTCTCGGTGCCACAGAGTGGAAACGACCATCTGCAGTGGATACTGCACCACCAAGGTGGGTGGTGATGCTCAAAACAAAAATCTAGAAATTGAAATGAAATGGAAGCGAGTCAAGCCTGCTCATTTACTGTTTGGAGAGACTGTTGTGGTCTTGTAGGAGATCCATGAAAGGAATTCATCTTAAATTGGTATAGATTGGGTAAACCAAAAAATAAAAGAGGGCTCCATTCACTTTTCTATTTCCTGTCAGAACTTTGCATACATTGTTAGCTTTGGGGATTTTTAGTTATACCAATCTACTTCCAGAATGAAATGCTGATCCCACATACTACTTAGGTTATTTTGTAAAAACAACAACTTTAATTTACAGAAGTTAAGACTGTATGTTTATCAAACTTGGCAGAAGCAGAACATTACTTGGTAGAGTGTTCATTTATAAAGCTGAAAATGTTTCTTATTAGTGTCTAATATAAACTGGTTCAGGGGTGAAACTGTGTACTTTCTAAGGTGCATGCAGATTCATTATACCACCTCATCAGTTATTAATGATACAGCAGCAGCTGTTAATTCAGACTAGAAATTCAAATTTGTTTCTAAACAATTCAGACTAGAAATTGTTTAGGAATGTTTTTTTTTTTCATTTTGATAAAGAGAGATACACTGAATCAATCAGAGAAATGCACATTTGTCTTTAGATTTATTTTTAGAAAATCAGAGTAAGTATCAGAGATCAGCATGTGAGAAAAGAAAAGTAAGAAGAAGGAAGAAGAAATGAAACTTCTCCTTTTATATCTTATCAGTCACGTACACGATGCCTTCCACTCATCTCTCTCCTGTAGGGAGTGTCTCTCAGTTTCTCCCATCTCTGGTTAATTGATACCTCTGTCCTTAAATCAAACCTGATTCAAAAGAGTTTTGGTTGGAAAAAGAAGAAACAACATCTTCACTGAAACCTCCATTATCAGTTCCATAAGTATAATACTTGCTCAGAAACCTTCATTATCAGATCATTCTTCCCAGTCAATAACAAAACTTTTATTTTCGAAGACACAATAATTTTTCTGCTATCATTTTGACACCCAGTCTCACACAAAACATGCACTAACCGTACAGCATGTTATAGTCAGTGCAAACTGTACTGACTATAAAAGTGGAAGTATTTTGGTGTTTTTTTTTTTAGATGTTTAAAAGTTAAAACAGTACAAAAAAGAATAGAAGTTCAACTTACAAACAACTTAAAACCAAATGAGCAGAATTCAAAAAGTACAAAATTTATACAAGTCCTGGATTTTTCATGAGAACAAGTCATGGTTTTATTGTTTTTGTCTTAAAATTAGATGAATTTATTTCAAAAACAGAAATTATGTCATCAATGCACGTTGAGCAATTTGATCAAAGAGACAATGTTGTTTGAAGAGACTGTAGCTGGTAAGCAACTATTATTCATGCTGAATGCATCCTGCTTTTCGTTCATAACAATTAAATTTCTTGTCAGGTGATATTGAGAAAACATTTTGATATCAGTGGAGAGTGAATCATTTTAATCAACTGTGTAAAGATGCTGCAGATAATAATCATCGGTTGGTACAATATAAATCCAAACATCATTTGAAGCTGTCTGTCAGTGTGGGCTTTCTGATGTTTTCTATTGTTTAGAATTTTTTAAAACTTACATGTCATTTATAATCATGAGATGTAGCTCAAAATGCCTTAAGAGTAGGCAGTTTAGTTTGGTGATGTAAAACGTGGCAACAGCTGCATTTGCATTACAACAGGGCGAAAATCTTTGTCTGCACTTTTTACCAAAATGTGAGTTCTTTTCGGACTTGGCGTCTTTCCATTAACAAAATTTATGTTTGTAATTTCAATTTATGCAATTCTATGGTTAATAAAAAAGCAGCCAGTGATTGCTTTCTACTGTCAGATAGTTGCTAGAATGCAAAACCATGACAACTATGTACCGTATTGTTTTTAGAAACTATTACCAACAGAAGTAGATCATGACCCAAATCTTAGAATAATTGAAAGGGGGCTTTTATAAATGAAGGGCAGAACCAAAGAGCGGAGAAATGATTAAAAGAGGGGCAAACGAGAATGATTTAAATTAGAGGTGCTTGCCAACAGCTGATTGTGTCATTCAGGCCGTGTTACTGTGAATTATCTTCTCTGCTGCCTCGAAATCAACCTGTTAGCATGTCAGGACCATCATGAGATGGTCAAAGAGAAACAGTCTTCAGTCAGAGAGGTATTTGGATTGGTTTGAGTTGACTTCATAAATTGGGCCGTCACTTCCACCAGCTTTCCATGACCTGTTATTGAAAGTCTCAGTGTAGGACTTTTGTCCTACACTGAGATAAACAGATTCTTATTATCTGTTTATCCATTTGCTTGTTTCCAGGATCCCAACATGAAGATAGTGTTGAGCAAACCAATTCAGCATGTGTGCACATATGGGGAATTGTACTACAAGACATTTGAGTTTCCTGACTGTTTGCCTGGAGTTGACCCTGTCGTCACCTACCCAGTTGCTTTGAGGTGCCACTGTGGCGGCTGTGCCATGGCCACGTCTGACTGCACCTTCGAGAGCCTGCAGCCTGACTTCTGCATCAACAACATCCCATTTTATCACTAATCTTGTATAATAAATACTTGCGCTTGACATTATTATATATATAATTTGTATGTTGTTTCGCAGCCCTGCCTCAAGCCCAGAACATTAGCTGGAAGTAGGCACCAGCACCTCCTGACCCCACAAGGGACAAGGGTGTAAGAATGGATGGATGGATGGATGGATGGATGGATGGATGGATGGATGGATGGATGGATGGATGGATGGATGGAGTTTAGCACAGAAACTGCAGATTGCAGAGAAATTAATTCAAGAAAAATCTTTTCAAACTAAAAGTTAAATTCAAAAACTATGGAGGGGCTGCACAGTGGCGCAGTTGGTAGCGCTGTTGCCTTGCAGCAAGAAGGTCCTGGGTTTGATTCCCGGCCCGGGGTCTTTCTGCATGGGGTTTGCATGTTCTCCCTGTGCATGATGGGTTCTCTCCGGGTTCTCCGGCTTCCTCCCACAGTCCAAAAACATGACTGTCAGGTTGATTGGCCTTCCCAAATTCTCCTTTGGTGTGAGTGTGTGTGTGCATGGTTGTTTGTCCTGTTTGTCTCTGTGTTGCCCTGCGACAGACTGGCGACCTGTCCAGGTGACCCCGCCTCTCGCCTGGAACGCAGCTGGAGAGACACCAGCACCTCCAGACCCTGTTAGGGAGAAGGATGACCGGAAAATGGATGGATGAATGGAAAACTATGGAATAGAGCTAGACTTACAAATACATTAAAGCAAATAACACAGAATGCAAAAAAATATTACCTTCAGCCCATGGATTCCATTTTTTTTTTGGGGGGGGAGAAAAATCAGCATAAATGCAATTTATGCCATTCCAAATAAAAATTACAAAAGGCTTGCATTGATGCAATATTTGATCAAATCGAAACTTAACTCATTCTGTAAAATTATTTAACACGAATGAACTCATACAATGTAAGCTTGATGATTCCAGGTTGAAGAAAAGATCACAGTGAAGATTTAATTATTTTCTCATCAAGTCAGAATGAGAAAACTACAGCTCAACATCTGAAAATATGAATCTGGGATCAAACTCACAACCTTCTGGTTTTCAAAATCCTTCCCACTAAGCCACAGCCACATTTTCGAACAATCATAACTACAGTCTCTCAACATTTCTTTGCTGTATCAAAGATAATAAGGCTAAAAATTGAATGTAGTGCTGAAAATTCACAGATTGTCCATTTTTCATTTCTTTCGTTGAGGTAAAGTTTTTGGCTCTCTCACCCTCAGCTTTCATGATACACAAGATTTAGATTTTGTTCCAGCTTCAAACAATTAGAACTACTGCTTCTCAGCATTTTGATGAAGTTCAAATAAAATAAAGCCTCCCATACCCACAAGGGAGGATTTCATATGGGACATATGGGAGAATTTAATATGGAGACATCCAGGACAACTTAATATGGGACATATGGGTGGACTTATAATGGCGAAATGCAGGAGAACTTAATAAGGGACATATGGAAGGATTTAACATGGATGAGACATATGGGGCGATTTAACATGGGACATTTGGGAGGATTTAATATGAGACAGGAATTAGACTTTGTTCATGCTTCAACCACAAAAATGACTGCTTCTTAGCATTTCTATGCTGTTTCAGAGATTACAAAGCGGAAAGTTGAATATTTTGCTGAAAAATTCATATTTGTCCATTTTTCACTTCTCTCACTGAGATAAAGCGTTTTTGATCTCCAAAAGCTCTTTTTGAAAAAAACAGGAATCAGACTTTGTTTATGCTTCAACCACAAAAACTATTGCCTCTCAGCATTTCAATGCTGTTTCAAAGATTATAAAGCTGAAAGTTGAATATTTTGCTGAATAAAATCACATTTATGCATTTTTCACTTGTCTCACTGAGATAAAGCGTTTTTGGGATTACAGTCTTTTTTCTTGATGAAACACAGGAATTAGACTTTGATCATGCTTCAAACCACAAAAACCACTCCTTCTCAGCATTTCTATACTGTTTCAAACATTATAAAGGTAAAAGTTGAGTATTTTGCTGAAAAAAATTGTGAATTTGTCATTTACCTTATGTTACTGAGATAAAGCGTTTTTGGTCTCTGACAGTTTTTTCATCACTAACAAAGGAATTAGACTTAGAAGATATGGGACATATGGGAGGATTTAATATGATTTCACATGAGACATATGGTTGGATTTAACATATGTCATGTGTGTGCAAAGGCTGTGTGTTTACTAGGGATTCTCCTGAGATGATGCCAAAACCACAAAGTGGTGTAGAATCTCACATTCTACTACAGACGTCATCGCTCCGACTCGCCACCACGAGTTAACAGTTCTCATTGCTGGATTCACCTCACTACCATACAATCTCTTTGGAATGACAGTTCCAGACCCCTAAATGCATTTCCACTTAATCCTGTGCTTAGAGGGATTTGAACCAGAGTCCTTCGTGTAGTGGTGTGTTAGTCCGACCATTCAACAACAAGTCCTTTTATTTAGTTGTTACGCATTAAATTATCTGTTAAAATGCATCTTTTTATTTTTTAAAAGAGGGGTTAAATAAAAAAAGCAGCCAATGAGCTTGCAAGTTATTTTTTTTTATAGATCTGAATGATGACAGCAAATATGGTTAAAAAAAATGGGAAAATGCAATTCAATTGGTCATGAAACAAGACTGTAATTTCATTTAACTTTTGAATAACTCAGGATTAACCAAAAGCAAAACAGAGAAACAAATTGGCAATAAAGCCTAGAAAGCCAAAGTATATATATATTTTTAAATAAGCAAGTGGAAAATAAAAATCGTACCAAAAATACATTACATGTACTTTTTAGACAAAAAATCCACTTGACATAATAAATAAGCTATTGGTTGTCTCAAATACAATCTATGAGATAAAATTTATATGACTTTGTACTTTTAAAACTTTTAATAAAATTTAAATTTCACAAAAATGAATGTCATACTTCCATTATTATATTCCACGTATGATGGGTTGTTATTCATTAACAAAAAAATTTAAATAAACATTTTTGAGGAAAACACTTTAATAATTGTTTTTTGTTGCCCTAAATATGAATGGCAACAAAAAGAAATATGAAAAAGCAAAGTACAGCATAATGTGTTGCAAATGTGGAATGAATATACTCCCAAATTGTTTTAATATGTGCATCAGGTGTAAAAGGACAGAACTTGATATAACAAAAGGCATCAGTTTATCATGTACTATAGAGAGTTGTAAAAATGTAAAATGTATTTCATACCACCAAAGAAGTGTTTTTTTCTAGAGATGGCAACAGACCTGCTCTCGTTGGTGTTGCTTAGACATAAAGATTTAAGCAATCTTAATATTTTGAGCATGTGTTTTAGAAAGACGCAGGAGAATTTATGAAAAACAGGTCTGGGTCTTGAAATTGAGAAGGAAGGGAATGAAGTGCAACACTGACATTACTTACAAACACAGAAATAAACAATGCTCAGATTGTGATAAAATTGTTATCTGCACATGATTGGACGAGTATTGTGCAGATCAGAGAGAGATCAAACAGTAAACGTACATTCTTGTACTTAGAACAAGTTGTCCTTAAATAAAATGTATGACAGCTGCACAAATATAACAGAGAGAAAATATGGAATTGATTTGTCTGACACTGTTTGGACAAAAACAGTGTCAGTAGAATGATTAGTTTCTTAGAGACTCATTTTGGAACAAGGCTCAGAGGTTATCTCAGAGGTTAATAACTGAAGATAGAAACAATAACAAGATGAAGTATAAATGTAGTTACTCCATTGAGATATTTACACTATGTAAGGATGATTTGGTTATCTTAGATGAGGAATTTGTCAAGAAATAATGTATTAGTAGAATGCTGCTTGCTACAAGAGTGACAAGAAAGATTACGTCAGTAAACAAATACCAATGTAATATTTTAACTGTTTGATTTATTAGTAGTTATCGCTAAGTAATCGTTATATTAAGTAAATTATCTCTTTTTTAACTACTCGTTATATCATGAAAACAAGACAAACACTGTTAATATTTGAACATGAAACACAAAATAGTATGCACCAGAATATATTATTAAATGTAATGTTTTTTTACTCTTCATGACTTTATCAGTTCTTATCCTGAGACAAGCCTGTCCAGCTCAGCATGAATATGAATTAAATTCAGTTTCTGTGGCTGACTCCATCTCCTGTTGAAACTCAGAAGTGCAACAGAGTTGAGCTCAAGCTTTTTGTGCCGAGCATATTCAAGTATATTTGCAGAATTTGCTGCGAGCCAATAAAATCTGGTAGTTTGGACATCCCTGCACTATCAAAAGTTCTTGATGATTTTGGGCTAAAAATAAAATATGACGTAGGTCTAATTAAATAAATAATTCAATTAATTAAATTGCTTTGCTTTTGGATTTGAAGGAAAACTATGGTGACAGCTCCATTATCTATAATGCTCTAACTAACGCTGACTTGATGCTGTTTGTTTATGGCTCTGCATCATGTGATCCTGTTAAATTATGTAACTTATTGCCGTCTAAGTGACTCAATGACTTTTTAACTATTTTATGATGGAATTCATTGAACTGTTCCCTGTTAAGGGGAAGAAATGTTGTGATTGATATTATTGACATGTTTAGCAAGTGAACGGAAGCTCTCAGGGACAGGTCCTTCCTTCCACTTCTGTCTGTCATGATGCAAGGTTGTCTTACAGTCAAAACCTGTCGAATACGCTTTTTCAAGTTTTTCAGAAAGAGAAAGACACGTTGCCACGTCCTGCGGAGACGCCACTCCATCCCAACATTGGACCTCCACACGTTGGCACTTTTGACTTATTTCACTGAGATAAAGCGTTTTTTGGCCTTACACAGTTTTATGTTCATAAAACAGGAATTTTTCAAACCCCCAAAATATACTGCTTCTCAGTATTTCTATGCCGTTTCAAAAAATAATGATGTCCTGGAGCACTTCATCAGTGATCAAGTGCTTGAATATATGCCTGGGGTGATGTACCACCTGTTCTTTGAGTCTTCATCAACCCTGCAGTCACATCAACATATAGAACTTGATATTATTTTCTCCATTGTATTATTTGTTTTTCACATTTAGTCTTCACTGATTTATTTCTTACTGTATCCAGGGTAGTTGTTTGGACCTCAATTGCCATATCACTCTGGGTTACACTTTAATCATCGTCAGTGAAAAAAAATGCAGTAATGTATATTTTTCAGCAAAATCTTCAACTTTCAGCTTTGAAACAGCATAGAAATACTGAGAAGCAGTAGACTTTGGTGGGTTGAAAAATTCCTGTGTTTTATGAACATAAAACTACCTAAGACCAAAAAAGCTTTCTCTCAGTGAAATAAGTCAAAAATGAACCAATGTGTAATTTTCAGCAAAATCTTGAAATTTCAGCTTTACAATCTTTGAGAATAGAAATTCTGAGAATCAGTATATTTTGGTGGTTTGATCAATTCCTTTACTTTTTTAACATGAAACTATCTAAGACCAAAAACGCTTTGTCTCAGTGAAATAAGTCAAAAATGCACCACAATATAATTTTCAGCAAAATCTTGAAATTTCAGCTTTATGATCTTTGAAACAGCATAAAAGTACTGAGAAGTTTTACACTCCTGTCCCCAGTGGGGTTGGGATGTACTGGTGCCCATCTCCAGCTAGAGTTCTGGGCGAGAGGCGGAGTAAACCACTGACAGATCGCCAGTCTGTCGCAGCTGATTTAACATATTGTTACAATTTACACACACAAAAAACTGCACTCAATTAAAATGATCGCAAAAAGGGACAGCTTTAATCACATTTTGATTAACATTTAAAATCTCAGAAAACTATAAATAGCATTCCTAAATACCACATTCTGTCTTGCCCAACTTTTTTTTTTTTTACCAGTCAGTTACATTGCAAATCATTTCATGCAGTTTCAGTTGTAGCACTGCAGAGGTCACCATTTCCCTCTTTCAAAATGTTGAAACAACACAAACAAGCAAGCTCTTTTTTAACCACCAGGTCTGCAAGTTAATTGAACTGAATGAATGAGGCAGGTGAGACAATATGCCATTTTTCAGCAACATTTTCTGAAGATATTAATCTCCTTTACAGGAGCTGGATGATCAAGGACATGAACAACACTGTGCAAGTTATCAGCACCAGCACCAAAATTCCAACTAACCCGAGTCTTTTTCTGGGAGGGACAAACTCAGCAGATAAATCTTTAAATGTCCCGACTAGACAAATGATGAGAAGTGGGACGGAGAGAAAGAAGAAGGTGGATCTTAAAATTATCTTGTAAACTTAAGACAGAAATGATGCATTAGGAAACTCAATAAGACTTATGACCCAAACTGCAGCACAGATCCACACAGAGACTTTGATGCTTCGTTTGAAGCGATACCACAATGGCCAGGCGATGACCAGAAACCTGTAATGACAGACAGGTTAGATTGGAATACTTGTCCTTTGTGCTACTATGTGCAACTTTCTTCTATGCATTATTTACCTTTCTAGGGCAACACACATCATGAAGCCAACACTGGCCTTCACACCAACATAGTAGATCACTCTAGAAATACAGATTGCTTCATAACTGTCAGGTTTTAAAACCCGGAACAACAAGCAGCATATCTGGATGAGCTCCGAGAGTAGGAGATTGACGACAAAGACTGGTGCCACTTTATCTTCTTTAATCTGCAGTTCAGCAGAAAAAAAAACAGAATGTTTGTTAGATACAATACAGTGGGTATAGCCCTGCTAGATTGCCAGGTGTTTTAAATATTAAAAGTGAGTCCAATATAAATAGTTAGTCCTCTTTCACTATGACATGAAACCTCTGCAATTCAAAAGAGAAAGAATATTGTAATCTTTATTCACCTGTGAGTGAAATGCACAAATTGCTAGCATGGTGAGTGGGAAGCCTATCCATACTACAATCCATGCAATCACATATGAGGCAGCCAAAACGACAGCTGGCTGGAAGAGGGGAGTAGCCTCCGTAAAAGCAGCATTGTAGTCATAGTCCTGGTAAGTGTCATTAAAATTCTCAAAGTAGTTGAAGTAATCCATCTTCAAACCTGAAACAGGAACAAATCATACATTACCCTAAAGTTTACAAAAAAAATAAAATGAAAAAAATTCACAAAAAATATGTAGAAAACATTTTTTTGTTATTTGTTTTACTTGTTTGTTAAAACTGTCACTTTTTGTGACGGTCTAATACGAGTCAGAGAATCTGTGAAAATAGCAATGTCCTCCATCTCCTCACAGACCTCCTATTGTAGTCTGTAGAAATTCACCACTGCAGGTCAGAAACAACCAATAAGATCCAGGAGGAGGATCTTAGTGCTAAATGTGCTAATGTCAGAGAAAAGACTTACCTTTACAGAAAAACCATCAATATGCCTTCATATGTGGCTTCGCTAACTAGCCTCTATTAGGCTGTAATGTAGCACTTACACTTACATGTTTGACATGCTAACACCCTCCTCCTAGTTCTCATTAGTAGTTTCAATTTTTTTTTTTCACAGATGATACCAACACTGTGTTTTAGGGGTGCTAAAGCACCCCTAAAACTGTATTTCAGCTTTATCTCAGCAAAAGAAGTGAAAAATTGACAATTATTGAAAAAGCCATACTAAGCAAAACTGCACCAGACCCAGACCTGCAGGCTAGGGGCAGTTATAGACAGGGGCCAAGAGGTTCTGAAGAAATTATACGCAATAAATATCTTTTTTAAATTTTTAGTGGTTGACATTTTTTTAGCTGCTGTATAGAGATAGGATCACACTTTCCATCTGCTAGATCAGGATCTGCAACCTGAATCTCTGGAGACACAAGTGGCTCTTTGGTTCACATATTAAATGATGAAATATTGCTCTGTTTGTGTTTAATTATTTTTTTAGTGTCTCCATAAGTAAAGACCATTATATATATATATATATATATATATATATAGTAAAAAAGGAAAAGATATATATGTTTTTGAATTTGTAAGTGTGCTTCGTTTAATGTCGAAGTGGTTTGCACCTCAGAGCCACCATAGTAAATACACTAGAAGAGACAAAGACATTACCGGCTAACGCCCTCATCTTAATATTATACTCAAAACATTTTATAACTGAAATAGAAATAAAAATACAGTCTTTGCTGTTACACGTTTTAAAAATACACCAAAAGAATGCGTACACTGTTCTACATTTTAAGGACCACAGAAAAGCACATAAATATTGACAAAGATGAAAGATTTCCAAGGTACAAAGTGTATGAAGTATGGGCTTTTTGAATCGTTTACTTTCCCTGCCTAAATTTTTGTTGCCAAAATTACCAGAGTGAAACAAACACAAGATAGTTTGCTGCTAAGAGCGCTCACTTTGTCATTCTGCAAATACAATTTGACAAAGATCAGTTGTAAAACAGATGTCACACTCCCACCAAATTTCGAACGTAAATGTAACCCGTTTTCAACATGAATTTAATAATATGTAGCGTGAAAGGATGGTTTCTCAAACTGATGGTTCACAGTCCTTTATTGAATGCCTTTGTATGTGAGCACACCATAAGAGCTACAAAATATATCAATAAAATACCATTAATAACTCAAAGTGTTGTTTTAACAGTTTCCTTTAATATATGAATCTTTTACCTTAAATGCTATAATTATATTTTAAAACATGTATTTACTAAACTTCCTGTCATGAATTAAAATGCAACATATTTTAATAGTTAACGGTTGACCAAAGAATATTAGATAAATATTAACAAACTCCATGTTTCACAGGAAAATTAAGCATATATTTACATCTTTAAAACTCTCACCTTGTTCCCCATCAACCAAGCGCCAACCAACTGACTGTCCGCACCCTAATCTCAGCCACTCCTTCATTAATTTCACTCTGACCTGCGGCGCTCTCTCTGTCTGCGCGATAACCAGCAGTTAATGATCAGTTAATTGTCTGCCGTTGGCATCACTCACTTCACCAACCTTCCGTTTCAAACCCTTTCAAAATATAAGCATCGACATTTATGTCAACAAATACTCGTTTTTTATGAGGAAACACAAAATACTACCTGTGAACTTAAATGCCAGTGTAGCGTCTAAAATCCTATATTTTAGGCTACTGGTGGTTGTTTCTGGGGGTAGTTTGTTTTTTGTGCGTTAGTTAAGATTCAGAATGCCGATCCTCTTGTTTGATTTATAATAAAGTCTTTTTTTATCCGAAACATTGTCCATAGTTTACATTGCCATTGAATTACACATAAATTCGACATCCAACCCAAACCAAACACAGTAGAAAACTGTGTCCTCTTCCCATTTGCTACACTTGGACAGAATCATGATTGACCTTAAATAACCCCTCCCCCCTCAGACACAAAAATGAAATATGCCACTAGAGGGTGGCAATAACACAAGCAAGTATAAATGGCTCCTACAGCCAGCTTATTGAAGATAGTTACTGTAAATACTCATTTGCAGTATTTGAAAATGATCTCCTGTTATATCTACCAGGACTTGAGAAACCATGCATAAGAGAGGAAAATATGTCTAGGATTGTTATTCTGTTCAGAAGTCCAATGATGTGACATTTGTTTGAATGGGCACCAGAATCTCTGACGTGACATTGGTGAAGACCTCTCTGAATCACTTTTATATCTGTGGAAATGTATTTCAAAAGTGTAAGAGACAGAATTCTGCTGAATAAGACCTAATTTAAGTGAGTGTGTGAATTCTCTGCAACCACAGAGTTGAACAAATAGTGATGTAGAAGCATCTGTCAGGTTTTCAACGTGTTTTTTTTTTTTGGCTCCTGACTGATAGGTCTAAGATTAGGCTGCAATGTGCAGTTGGCCTTCAACTTTATTGTTCAGTTTCCTTTGGTGTCTAACGAGTTATGGCTCTAATAAACTTCTATATTTACCTCCCTCTCACACACATACACACGTATATACACAAACATACACACACACACGCACACTTCAGACAAGCCTCTTCCTGTTGATATTCATCAAAGCTGATGAGTAATCCTGATGCTAATGTTATTTAGATTTCATTAACCTGAAGTAAATAAATCCTGGTTTGAAAATGAGCCTCAGGGGCTTTTCCAACTTTTAAACTGCCAATATGCATAATTTATAGTAACTGTACACAAATCAGCCCTGTTTGTACATAAATTGTTACACTGAGACAATTATTTTTTCTGTATAATCAACATGGATAATGATTACTAGCTTAAACTGTAGTAAAACAAGAAATTTGAGAAGACATAACATTTATATATTAAATGTAATAAATCTCATGTTCAGTAGTGGTTAAATGCTAAGAACTTTTGCTGCTTTGCTTTGATACAAATCCTATAGCTAAGCATTTTGACTACAAGTAGCTGTTATCAGCTCAGCAGAAGAATTTAAGGCTGATATGTTTATGTGAACTGTTTTGTGGAAAACATGATAAAGGTAAAGAACTAAATTAATTCTAATAGTAGATAAAGTTTCTGTACTCAGATTGTTTGACAGTTGTTATCAATAATAAACACCTAACAGAGCTGTTTTAAATGCAGCTCTTTTCATTTAGATGTGAGATGTTTATTAGGATTTCAATGCAATTTTTGCCTCTAAACAGTCATATTAACAGTGATTCTCAGAAGAGAAGGTTTAGATGCCAAATTCTTATGAAAAAGCTTAGTATTGTGTCTCTTACATTTTATGCGTTAACTTGTTAAGCAAAAGCATGAATTCTAAAGTCAAAGTTGCTAGCGAGTGAAGCTTCAGCTGTGGCAGTAGCATCGGTCCTTCTTTGTCACTGTTGCAATAAAAACTGTTTAGATGTGACTTTGTCAGGATAGGGCAGGGCTGTGCAGAGACCTTTGGAGGGGCAGGGGCTCAAAGTTAAAAAAGAGCACAGTGAACAAGATCTTAAAACAATGTGCAACAACACAACCCATATTAATCAATAATTTCATTGGATTCTACTATATAATTGCCATCATGCAGGGACAATGCAAAGCAAATGTCGTCTATATTTTCCCCATCAGGTATAAAGTTGCTGTTTCTGCTGCTGACAGTCCTGGAGGGCTGAGTTGATCTGAGACTGTAGCTGTTAAACAGACCAGAGGAGAGAAGGTCACTGATTATGAAGTTAGGAAATTAGCACATTTGCTACCATTTTACTAATTTAGCCCTAATAATATATATTTAACCTCTACAAAACTTGGCTGCAGACTGCTTTATACATAAAAAAGAAAAAAAGTTCAATGTAATTTTTTTATATTAGCATCTAGAATTGTAAGACTGGGATATGAAAGCAAAGAAAACTCAGTAGCTACTGGCAGGGTCCTCCAGCTCCAGACATTCAAGGATCCCTAGAAATGATTTAATTGTAACACATGCCATAGATCTAAACATGTAGTATTCATTTATAGAGAATGACAATGTTATTAAATTTTCTTTAATGGATTCAGCAGAGAAAAAAAATGACAATTAGGATTTAATTAGGAAGTTTACTTTGGGGCAGTTCAAAGAATCATCTTGATAGTTTGATTGTTGCGTTAAGATGGTTACAGTATGGTATCATCTTTGTATTTGAATTGGGTTTGTTCACAAATATATCACAGTAAATAACCAATAATCAGTGATTGATTTTAACCTCAGCCAATAAATCTGGTCTCCCTCTCACAAACTTCATCTTATCTATATTTAAACATGTTAGTGATGCCAAAGTTCTTAGTAGGAAGGGTTTCGGGAGGTGGTGGGAAGTGGGGTTTTGTCTAAGGCCCCATAATCCCTTGGGCCGACCATGCATGAACAGCCACTGTTTAACACTTGAGTTTCTCCAATGAGTTATATTGGTATCGGGTGGTATCGGGTGCTATCGGGTGGTATCGGGTGGTACCGGGTGGTTCCGGGTGGTATCGGGTGGTACCGGGTGGTACCGGGTGGTTCCGGGTGGTACCGGGTGGTTCCGGGTGGTTCCGGGTGGTATCGGGTGGTATCGGGTGGTACCGGGTGGTTCCGGGTGGTTCCGGGTGGTATCGGGTGGTATCGGGTGGTATTGGGTGCTATCGGTGCTATTGGGTGGTATCGGGTGGTGTCGGGTGGTACGGGGTGGTATCGGGTGGTACTGGGTGGTATCGGGTAGTACCAGGTGCTATCGGGTGGTACCGGGTGGTGTCGGGTGGTGTCGGGTGGTACCGGGTGGTACCAAGTGGTATCGGGTGGTACCGGGTGCTATCGGGTGGTACCGGGTGGTGTCGGGTGGTGTCGGGTGGTACCGGGTGGTACTGGGTGGTATCGGGTGGTACTGGGTGGTATCGGGTGGTACTGGGTGGTACCGGGTGGTATCGGGTGGTATCGGGTGGTATCGGGTGGTACCAGGTGGTACCGGGTGGTGTCGGGTGCTATCGGGTGCTATCGGGTGGTACCGGGTGGTGTCGGGTGCTATCGGGTGGTACCAGGTGGTACCGGGTGGTGTCGGGTGCTATCGGGTGGTATCGGGTGGTACCGGGTGGTGTCGGGTGGTGTCGGGTGGTACCGGGTGGTACTGGGTGGTATCGGGTGGTACTGGGTGGTACCGGGTGGTTCCGGGTGGTATCGGGTGGTATCGGGTGGTATCGGGTGGTATCGGGTGGTATCGGGTGGTACCGGGTGGTTCCGGGTGGTATCGGGTGGTATCGGGTGGTATTGGGTGCTATCGGGTGCTATTGGGTGGTACCGGGTGGTATCGGGTGGTATCGGGTGGTATCGGGTGGTACTGGGTGGTATCGGGTAGTACCAGGTGCTATCGGGTGGTACCGGGTGGTGTCGGGTGGTACCGGGTGGTACCGGGTGGTATCGGGTGGTACCGGGTGGTATCGGGTGGTACTGGGTGGTACCGGGTGGTATCGGGTGGTATCGGGTGGTATCGGGTGGTACCAGGTGGTACCGGGTGGTGTCGGGTGCTATCGGGTGCTATCGGGTGGTATCGGGTGGTACCGGGTGGTACCGGGTGGTGTCGGGTGCTATCGGGTGGTACCAGGTGGTACCGGGTGGTGTCGGGTGCTATCGGGTGGTATCGGGTGGTACCGGGTGGTGTCGGGTGGTGTCGGGTGGTACCGGGTGGTACTGGGTGGTATCGGGTGGTACTGGGTGGTACCGGGTGGTACCGGGTGGTATCGGGTGGTACTGGGTGGTATCGGGTGGTATCGGGTGGTACCGGGTGGTATCGGGAGGTACTGGGTGGTATCGGGTGGTACCGGGTGGTATCGGGTGGTACTGGGTGGTATCGGGTGGTTCCGGGTGGTATCGGGTGGTACCGGGTGGTATCGGGTGGTACCAGGTGGTTCCGGGTGGTATCGGGTGGTATTGGGTGGTTCCGGGTGGTATCGGGTGGTACCGGGTGGTTCCGGGTGGTATCGGGTGGTATCGGGTGGTATTGGGTGGTATCGGGTGGTACCGGGTGGTATCGGGTGGTATCGGGTGGTATCGGGTGCTATTGGGTGGTACCGGGTGGTATCGGGTGGTGTCGGGTGGTATCGGGTGGTATCGGGTGGTACTGGGTGGTATCGGGTAGTACCAGGTGCTATCGGGTGCTATTGGGTGGTACCGGGTGGTGTCGGGTGGTGTCGGGTGGTATCGGGTGGTACCGGGTGGTACCGGGTGGTATCGGGTGGTACCGGGTGGTACCGGGTGGTATCGGGTGGTATCGGGTGGTATCGGGTGGTACCAGGTGGTACCGGGTGGTGTCGGGTGCTATCGGGTGGTACCGGGTGGTGTCGGGTGCTATCGGGTGGTATCGGGTGGTACCGGGTGGTACCGGGTGGTGTCGGGTGGTGTCGGGTGGTACCGGGTGGTACCGGGTGGTACCGGGTGGTATCGGGTGGTACTGGGTGGTACCGGGTGGTATCGGGTGGTATCGGGTGGTACTGGGTGGTATCGGGTGGTACTGGGTGGTACCGGGTGGTTCCGGGTGGTATCGGGT